CGCCCTCGCAGAAAAAAAAGAATCAAACCCCGTTCTGCCGGGGGTCGGGGGTCCGCGACCCCTCCTCTCTCGCGGCCGTGCCCTTGCGAGGCGGTGACACGCGTGTCTCAGCAGGAACTGGTGTGAAGAGCGGGACGGCGCCGCTGAGACAGGGGAAAAAAGTATTTTCCCTCTGGCCCGTACGGGGATCGAACCCGCGACCTTGGCGTTATTAGCACCACGCTCTAACCAACTGAGCTAACCGGCCAGTGCACGGCAATTTTTCATGGCAGGGGTGTATAACGGCGCCCCAGACCCGCCGCCCCCACCCCCGGCCACAGCCAGGGACCCCCCACTCCTCGCATCGCCCCCCACACCCGTACAGGCGGGAACACACGCTGAACTGGCCAGAAAAGCCCTCACCCTACAGAGACGCAGCGACTGGGAGACAACACCCACAGCGACACGTTCGCGGCTTCACCCCTCAATCAACAGGCTAACGCTTCCCCAGGCTCTCTAGGATACGATTCCAGCTCCATTTCATTAAACAAAATATTTATTTCGAGCATTTATTTTAAAGCCGTTACTCTTCACGCTGTTTAACGCACCGTTACAGTATCAGTTTGCACGCACAAATGACTCGACTCGCCTTCTCCTAAAGTCTGCGTTAAAATACCATTACGTCCGCTTAGCAAAAGGCAAATGCCACCGAGGGCGGGTGGGGACACCTCTCCAAAATGCAGGTTTTTTTCGGAGACCGGCTCACCACAGCTCTGTGAGGAGAACGCGGGGAGCGGGGCCGCCGTCCGGATCCTCGCCTCTCCTGCGAGCTGGGAACTGGAAACCAGCACCGCACCCACCTCACCGAGCCAGGAATAAAACCCCGCGTTAACTCACACCTGCAGTGCCGCAGGGAAACCGCTGGGGATCAGGAGATCACCGGAGATCAACTCGAGCTCCCTCGGAGCGCGGCGCTCTGGGAGAGGAGCGGCGGAGCAAAGATGGCGGCGGCCGCTGCCCGCTGCGCACGCGCCGCCTCCCTCCCCGCCGGCCGCGCTGCGCCTGCGTGGGCGGCACGTGACGTGCCATCCCCGCGCGGGGGCGTGGCCGGGGCGCGGGGCGGGGAGCCGGAGCCTGCGCGGTTGCCAGGGTGACGGGAATACAACATGGCGCGCTGAGGGCTTGGCCGGGAGGTCGCTCGGCAGATCGGGAGGGAGCTCGGCCGCTCTTGTCGCTCACCCCGAGACCTGCAGGCGAGCGCAGGATGAACAGTAAGGGGGTGCGGGGGAAAGCAGCGGGCCCTGCTCGGTGTGGTAGGCGGCGGGCAGAGGGGCCTTCCTTAGGGGTGGCGTGGGCCCGGGCGCTTTTGAGGAGGCCGGCCGTCACCGGCGACCCTGCCTGAGGGGATCGGGGTCCGGGCCGCGCGGTCGTAGTTGTTGTCGCTGTTGTAATCCCTGGAAATCGCCCTCACTGGAGCCTGCTGCCAGCTCCTTCCTTTCCCTACCGAGACTGCACACCTAAACCCTGGTGTCCCTCTGCATGCCCGTCCTCCTCTTCAACAGGGTGCTAATAAACCGTTCTCTCACTCCTGTGAAGCAGTGGCCTGTCTGTCTCCTGGTCTCTCTATGTCCTTTCTCAGAAATTGCAAAGTTTCCTCGTTCTTTGGTCTGCAAGCCTTTCCTCCCGTTACTTGGCATCCTTCTTCAAACCATCCCATGTCACATCCGACACATTTGGCGTGTTTCTGAGTGCAGTAATTATGTGCCATGGCCTTGTGACTGTGGCTGAAGCTCAACTTCTTGTTGCTTTCTTCATTATTTCTTTTTGTTATTTCTCTCTTCCCATACGCATCAATGTCATGTTGAAATGTCATGGTTTTATCTTCCTCTGAATCTTTGCAACAAAATATCTGCTTTAGGTTTTTATAATATACTGTTCTGGCTGTTGTAGTGCTATCATTTCTGTCATTTGGCATTGGATTCTTGAATTTCAAGTGACGATTGATTTTTTTGTGCTCTCTAGTTACAGTAATATGGCTGTAGTTTTTGAATTCTATCACTTACCCATAATTTTAGTTTATAACATTCACATTAAACTGTCTTTCTATTGGATGATTACCTCTCTGCCATTCTTATGGCCACTTCTTTGGTGTTAGACTAGTTTGGATTGCTACAACTTATTCTCACAAATAACTTTTGCCATACCTTTGTACTTGATTTTGTTGATTACTACAGAATTTCATTCCATTTTCCTGACCTTTATCTGCCTTTCTGCTAACCATTCTAAGCCTGAACATCCCCCTGAAACAGAGGGGTGGGAAGGAAGACGTTAGGTAGTATCTAGCTTGTTAAAGATGCATGAAAAAATTGCTATCCAGTGATTAGGTCTTCTTTATTCTTTAATGTCATTAAAGTGTAATTAAAACGCTATTTAATTTCATCCTCAAAGCTTTCAGTCTTAAAATGCTGATAACATTTTTAACATTTCTGTCATTCTTCATCTTTGAGTACCATAAATTCAGGTAAACTAACTGGCAATTCGGTTTGTTTTGTAGCTGTAGTAAATTTCATGGCTTAAAATTGACACACTTTGACCTGACTGTTCTCTTCTAGTGTGTGTTTGAAGTCCCTTGTTTTGGTTGGGTTTTTTTGCTACTTGGTCACTTTTGAAGGATGAGTTATGTGGTGCTGAAGTGGATTTTTAAGAATCTCCAGAAAACTTGGCTTGTGGATGCAAATTCAAATCTTGTGCCAAATTATTAGTACATTTGAAGTATAAATTTTATTTTTTCTTATTCAATACAAACTTTCGTTATTATTCTGAGTTTCTTTCAGCTTCTCATCAAACGATAACTACCTTGTCACATGATGGTTCTCAATTTCTCCCTAGGAGAAAAGCTCTCTCATCTTCAGTGATCTGTTTTGTTGAGAGTTTACATATTGATTTTATGTATCAAAGAGACATTTCAAACAATGCAATTTTCAGTCCTGATTCTTTATTCGATCAACTGAAATTATTCTGGTCTTTGCTGTCATTCTTTTCACTGGATAGCGCTCTCTTAAGTGCCAGGTTAAAGCCTCAGTTGTGTGTTATGTGTGAGTTTTTAATTTTCTATGTATAGCATTCTATTGTAAAAAATTAAAATAACAAACCTGACATGCTTCAAATGAAAAAAAAATCCATAGTGCTGTAAGAATGTTTTAAAGTGCATGAAGAATTAACTCTTCCTAAACTATTAGAACTCTTCGGTTCAAAATTATTTTAAAAAATCAAATTATTTTGAGCCTTTCACTGTCATCTAGGTATATCTTGTAGGAGAAAAATACATCTATAGAAGAAAATACAAACAAAACCAACTTACATGAACATAAACATATACTGTCTTCTTTATATATCTAAAAATATTTTCAATAAATGTGTACAATAATACTTTCTCTGTGTTTCTCTGCCGAAGTACCTTGGTTCATTAATACCTATGGCTGGTATACCATGGATATTCATATCTTATCTTCAGATCGTGTGATTTGAATTTTTGTTTTTGGGCCAGAGAATCAATTACTTGCACTTAAGAAACAAAAAATAAGGTATTGCCATTTATTAGAATCAAAGAGTAGGTCAACAAGTAGCTATTTTTTTCTGTGTCTGCCTTGGCTATTTTTTGCCTCAGGGACTGGCTCTGACATTATATGAACATATAAGGTAGCCAGTGTGTATCCAACAAATTAGACAGCATCAGTTGCTACCAACAAAATCCATTGACACTTTTTCTTTGGAATTCTGTAAAAGTGGGATTTAAGCATTCTGAATGTATGATCTCCAGCTTCTATTTGACTATTTAGATAGGAAATTAAAACTTTAAGTTAGGGGAAGAGAGCTTGGTGCAAAGTGTGATTTTTTTTGCTGACGAAGCAAATCACTTCCTGAGTCACGATGTTTAGTGAACACCAAAGGCTAGAGATCCCCTTGCTTGAAGCACTAACTGACCAGTTGTCAAATAACAGCCACATGGATTAACCAGTCTCATGGTTTCTTCCTTACTTTGGAGTCTCTGTTAGAGATTGCCTCCTTTACCCATAACGATTTTCAAATTCAGTTTCTGATTTTAAAATCATTCTATATGTAAACTGTCTGTATAGAGTGCATTAGATGGTGTCATTGATTTTAAATTACTCTGCTTTTTCCTATCTTTCAAATTTAGATGGACTAATTACTTAGTTTATGATCTGGCATGGTGGCTAATAATCAGAAAACCTAATCAGCAGGTGACAAAAATGAGAAGGGCAACTGACAATTCTCACAGAAGTGCTGCTACTTGGAGAAGGACGTGTTTGCAAGGGGAAGATTTAATTAAAATATAAGCATTTGAACCACAAGGAAAGACTTTTGTTTTGTTTTTTCTTTAACAGGAGTAAGTGTGAAAGTTGGGGAGGAGAAAAGAGATGAAGACAGCACAAATTGATTGCTATTTGGAAGACAGCATTAGCATGTCCCTGCCTAAGTAACTTTTCTCTCCGCAAAATTTCTTGGCAGGCTTTCTCCACTGTGAGGCTGTATTTATACTTGTAAATTAAACATATCTGGAAATCTGCTTGGACACAAAGAGCAACTGGCATGAAATGGCCCACATCTATGCTAGTAAATTCTCTTATCTTCCAAAACAAGGCAGTGGGACAGAAACTGCTTGAGGAATGACCTTAGAAGGAGCCTCACATCAGGCTGGGAGGGTACCTAGGAGAGTGGTGGTTGTCACAAGCCAAATCCATGCCAGAGGCTGTTGTCACAGTAACTAATACAGGCAACTACGCTTCATTGAATTTACTGCTATCAACGTAGCTTAAGACTCCTACAGTTATTCTGACTCCCATAAAGGGCTGAACATGATAAAAGAGGTCTCCTGCTCTGCCTCCCTCGAAATGACTGGGTTGGATCTTTCTTAAATAATAAAACTATGACAAAAGCAACAGCAGCATAAAGCTAACCAGAATTGGGGTTTGCTCAGATGAAATTACCGTAAGAATTATCGAGGATAGAATCTGTAGGTGCTAAAAATAAAGGGAACCAGGAGGACAAAGTGGGTGAAGGGAACCAGGCAGTGGGATTGGTAAGGAACAGTTAATCACAAAGCTGAAGGAGAATAAAGGTGGAAAGAAAAGAAATGTCAATTCTGAAGGAAATTAGGAAAAGGCTCACAACTTAATAGAAATAAAGCTTTCTTCATAACCTTTACATTTTCTGCTTCATTTCTTAGAATTCTGCAGAACTAGAATTGACTGATTTTCACATCCTTGTGTTTGGTGCGCATTATTTTTGGCCTAGTGTAAAGCTTGTATCTGAATTTAATATGGAAATAAAGCTGTAAAATCAGCAACTGCATTGCTTAAAAAAAAAATAAAAAGGCAAATCCAAAACCAAACAAAAACCACCCAGCCCAAACAAACAAAAAAACCCTGTTGGAACAATGACAAGATACACTTGCTTTTCAAGGTAATTTCATGTTTTCAGTACAATGTAAATAAAAGGCTTTTTTTGTGTGTGAAATAAGCACAGAATAAGTTCAGGTATGAGTTGCTAACGTGCTGCAGCAGACAAAAAGGTATGAAGTGCTGTGTGAAGAGCCACACTGCCTCTGAGCAAAGAGGTAGTTATTGTCTAAGACATATATAAAGATCTTACGTGTAAAAAACCCTTTTGTTTAAAAATTTTCCATTAGTCATAATTTAACAAATCAACTACAGCTTGATATGCAGTCTTCATAACAATTTCCTGATTGAAACATACTGAAACAGTATCTTTTTGTTTTTAGAATATAAAGCAGTTGGTAAGATAGGAGAGGGAACATTTTCTAATGTTCTGAAGACACTGAATCTTAGGGACGGAAAGTACTATGCATGTAAACACATGAAGCAACATTTTGAAAGGTATGCATAATTAATCATAGTACTACAGAAAATCTGAAATTCAGTGGGGAAATGTGAAATTAAGACTAAGTGAAGTTGTTTGAATACACTTGTATTAAAAAGGTTTGCATATAGTGCAGAAAGGGAACTTTCTGGCTGCTGATTATGCAGGGCCTTCCCATTTGGCATTGGGTTTATTTCCTTGAGTACTTTGATGTCACCCGCTGTACTAAATGCTGCCTGGCCACTGGGTCGAGGGTGAAACAAGAAGAATGAGGACTAAATAGTTGATTTCTGCCTTTCCAAATGCACTGAATATACTTGTGCTGGTTTTCTTTTTGCTGGAAGTAATCATAGGAGGATGAAATGTGTCAGTCCTCCCCCTGGACAATACTTTTTTCAGTCTTACTGATTTAATGCAAGTTGAAAACACTGTGTTTATCCTTAGTCCATGTATAGAATTAGTTCTACTTCATACTTGCGTTTATATTTAATTACATCCACCAGAAAGACTCTATTTGGTCACAAAATAGGTACGTTTTATTGGATAGGAAAATAGAGGAGAGGGCTGTGTGGAAGTCGACATAGACTTGACATTCTCTTCCAGATACCTAAGTGCCAAACAGTGCCTTTTAGGTCACTGACTTTGTGTTCTCCTTAAAATACTTTAATTTCCTAGTGAAATCAGTGGGAGTGACACATTTGTACATACGAAGTAAAAAGGGACATTTTGCTCTTAGGTGAGATTTCACAATGTAACTCAGAGCTTCAAAGACTAAGGAAAAGTGGAGCTCTGAAAAAATTGCTGTAAGTTAAAAAGAAACAAACTCAAATATCTTCAAGTAATGTGGCTTCTGATTCTCTGTTGTGTTGGTAGAGAACTGTTGGTCTATTTATGAATTACCTACAACTGACCAAATTGTCCAAGTTGTGGTCAAAAGAGTACTTAAATTAGCTGCTTGACTACATCAAGGGCAGATGGTTACAGTTCAGTGGTAGGGCATAAAATAGGGCGTAACAAGCAGACACTTTTTTTTGTGTAGCATGTTTAAAACATCTTGGAGGCCTTTAACCCTTTGATAAATGGACTGGCAAATTCTTTTGATGAAATGAACTCTTTTAGCAACAGATAACAGTTTTAAACAGAACCTGCCCGTACAAGGTATTTCTCCTAGTTTCAAACTGGAAAATACTGTTTTGGTGTTTAAGTCTGACTCTGAAAAGGCGCACGTTCTGATCCATTAAATAGTGTGCTAAGCTCTTTGTTTCCTGCTTCCTCCCCAGAGTTTCTGTAGCAAGTAGTTTATTAAAGTCTAGGGGGCAACATAATAATGAAACAACAGTTCAGTAGTGTCTATCTTTCATGTAAGAGGTTAGCATCAAAACTTAGTTTTAAATGCTAAATTTGGCAAGGCTAGAGTGTCACTTTCAGCATCGTGCTGGGCAGTAGCTGGAACATATGCTACACCAGCGCAGAATAAACAGTATCATACATACTATTATGCAACACAAAATTCCTCCCAGATAGCTCCTTGGCGTGGTAACTGATGGCTGGAGCAAAAAACATTACTACTTATCTTGTTTGGGTAAGTCCAGCTACACCAGACTGCAAGGAGGGATAAAGCTGTTCTCCTGATCACTGATTTGCTCTGAAAAAGAAACAAAGCGGGCAAACAGTTCATCAGGTCCTGCATTTGGAAGCTCAGTTACAAACTGAAGTGGAGTAGGTTCTGACAGTCTCATAGCAGGGAAGAAAAACAGTTATAATCCAGTCCCTGATTGCAAGTCAGTCTCCCTCTTTTCTCTTTAATTCAACTTTAGTATGGAACAAGTGAATAATCTGAGAGAAATAAAAGCGCTAAGGAGGCTGAGTCCACATCCTAATATCCTTATGTTACATGAAGTTGTTTTGTAAGTATGGTGCATTCATTTCTTTCTTCATTTATTTGAGTGATATCCAGTAACTTTTGAGTCTAGAAGCAACCTGTAGGCAATTAACCAGCTTTTATATCCAACAGAAAGAAAAAAAACAACGAATTTGTCCAATTCTGATGTCTTCGTGCTTTTTTTGTTAAGAAAATCTGATGTAGCTCTCACTTTCTCTGGCTTTTTCACAGCAGACCAAAAATATTTCAAGATCAGTATTAAAATTACAGACCAGATATATTTTAAGCATAGCTATACTTCATGTCATAATATGTACTACTCGCTGGTGATTTCAACCTGTGTCCTATATCCAGTGAGTGCTTTAACTACTCAATATCGTGTCAACTGGAGACATTATTTTTGTTGGACACGCTCAGAGTTTATCTGCTGGAAAAGGCTGGGGTACTTCAAGGATCTTGGTTTGACTCATCAGTTTGAAGTAGGGTCCAGGCACACTATTTGGCAGTACCATTTACCAACTTTACCAACACCTCTTTGCAAATGAGAGAAGTTTCGATCTCTGAATTAGGCAGCAGCCAAGCTATGAATTTGGAAAGAGATCGATCAGTCAATGATGAAGTTGGGTTCCTTAGCCTCATTAGGCACTTGAGTGTCTTCTGGGGACATGTTCTGTCTCACGAAGAGATTGGGTTTTATGACAGCATTTATTACAGTACTGTGCGTTACACTTCATTGCTATGCAACAGCAGACTTCATTATTCAAATACCTGACAACAAACTTGTTGACTGCTTTAAAATATTTTTTTCTTGCTCTTCAAGCTGTCTTGTTCCTCTTCTCAAAGCTCTGGTACTATACTGTTATTGACAGGCTGGTTTTCTACAAATATATGGAAAGCTGGTAATCATGTCAGCAGCTTAGCTTTCTGGAATTCTCAGCTTCAGCTGCCGTGTCGCTAACGAAGTGTAATCCAGATGGCCAGCCAGCTCGCCCAGCTCTGTCACAGTCTGTCTGTGAACTGAATTTGCAGATTGTACCCTCAACCTTTTGCTGTCTGGGTTAATGGAACATTGCAGAGGGAATGGGCTTTAATGCAATTAGCTTAAAAAAAAAAAAAAAAAAAGACCTAAAAGACATCTGCCTCTGCAGGGTAATGAAGTGGAAAATAAAGTCTCGGATGTATTATCATATCGTGATAATACTTAAAATTGCTGTTGTCAGCAAAGCACAGATTCCAGTCAGATACTCATTTCCATACACTAGAACACCACTGGTGACCTAACTAGAAAGTATTTCTATATATGGTGTAATAGATAGAAAAACTTCTATACACCACTGGTGACCTAACTAGAAAGTATTTCCATATATGGTGTAATAGCTTTCCTATCTTTTATTGTAAGATTGTATCAGTTTACTGGGAATTTCTTGATACTGAACAGTGTGATATGCTCAGAAAACATGCACTCAAATAACTTCACTGAGTAAATCAGTTAACTTTTGCAATGGACACTTTGGATAGTATAAACTATGATACCTCAGGCACTAGATAGAAAAACTTCTATGAGAAAGTATCAATTAAAAATGAAAATGTCCATTTTAGTACTGGTTAAACTAAGTACTTTTTTCAATGCTTTGTACAAATCAACATGTAAATTTTATTTATAGCTTAAAGTCTCCTTATATTTGTTTCTTCAGTGATAAAAATGCTGGCTCCCTTTCACTGATATGTGAACTTATGGATATGAATATTTATGAGCTGATAAAAGGTATGTAGCATATGCTTGAGAAACACATAAACTCTCCTTGTGAAGATCACAAAGTGGAATTGATTATTTTTCACTTGGTTGTTTACCATTGCCTATTATAAAACTCATAGGCAAATTTTGTGCTGTACTTCTTTACTCTTTATTTATTATTTCCAGTGCGATATACCCACTTGTTTAAGGCATGGATGCATGATGCAGAAGGTTTCTAATGAGTCAGGTTGATGGCCATCTATTTCTACAGTCAAACTTTACACGAAAGCAAAAAAAGAACCTTGACCCTTGACTGCAAAAGACAAAATAATTGCATTATGTAACAAAGAATACAACTTAAATAGGTTCTTCGTTAGGTCAGGACTGTAATGATATAACAAGAACATTATTCCCATTTGTTTAAAAAACTACTGAATTGATTAATAGTGATTTTCAGTTCTTATATCTAGTAAAAATGTCTTTTACCAAGATTTCTCTATAAATAACATTGTTCCCTGAAACGTCCTACATTTAAAAATTCTGGACCTGTTTGTCAAAGTCTGTGGGAGACCATAAAAGCTCAAGGAAGAGTTCCTACAGAAATGTTTACAACAAAAGCTGATTTAAAATGATATCTCAAACACCCAAGGAGTTGGATACAGCAATTGAATTGGCAGTTACTTACAATTTCATATTAAAAGAGGATTTTTTTCTGAATAATTAAAAATTTGTAATGTTTCAACAGTTGTGAGATTCATTTAAATAACTGAGCATGCGGCTGTCATTCAGCGTTGTAATAAAATAGATAAAAGACTTGTTCTCAAACATTGCATTAGTGATACTGAATATTCAATCTCTAACAAAAGTAGTAACCCTGTTCCTGATGTAGATGAAAAACTGAGATTAAAATACACTTATGTGCTGATCAGTGAAGCGAACATGAGTATTTTGTGGGTTTAATAAGACATTTTCTTTTTCCAGGATAAATTTGTTAAGTTGTAGAGTCAGAGTAATGGCATATAGGAAGGAGTCCCCATTGATAGTAAGTTAGTCCAGTGCATTAAAACAATCCTGCATCTTCTCCTTCTAGGAAAGATACTGCACTTCAGTTATGAAAAATCAGAATGTTTAAGTTTGTTCTTTAATTGTCTTTTTTTTTTACCCCAGAGTATTTGCTTTCATTTGTTTACTTTTCTCAGTGTTTCTGTGAATTCTGGTACGGTAAACATGGTATACAGATGGAAAATAGTCTTTTAGTTTCATTATGTTCTGCTAGTTTGTTTTTGTTTTTTTTCTATTATTATTATTTCAAGATACATTTTTTATCAAATTCAAGTTTTCCATAAGAAAATTGTTTCCTTGCCACTTAGTTTTAGAAACCTCCTTTTTTATGGCATGGTGAATCAGTTCAAAATGAAATCTGTGTTCAATTGTAATCTGAAATGCTGTAGTTAGGGGTTATCTGAACATTAATTTGGGTCTACCTGAACATCTGTTAACTGTTGGTTCTTCTTTATGGTCTGGATTTTGTGTCTGGACTGTGTTTCCTATGACATGGTGGCTTTTTTTCACCTTGTACAAGGTGGTGGCACATGGGGTGGAGCTTGTCAAATCATAGAATAAAATGGGAAAATGAACAACAAATTCCTGTGGAGATTAGAATAAACAAAAGGAGTATTTTGATATTTTGAAGTATTAAAGTATTTAATTTATGCCAAGTGTTTTGCATTTTCAGAAATGAATTTTGGGGCTTTAAAGTTCGACATGTCAAAACCACGATTTCCTACAGAGCAGCAGAACTAGCTTTTTTATATGTTTACTTTCCCAAACAATTATACTTGTGGCTTATTGCAAAGTCAAGAAATGTAACATGTAGCAGTCATTTCAAACAATAAATGTGGCAAAAATTCAAAGTACATAATTAAATTGGAAAATTAATCTTAGTTCTGAGCCAGAACACTTACTGTCTGAGGATACCTAGTTAACAATGGCGAGTGGAAGGAGCTCCTTTTGAATTTTCAGTGTTGTGATTTGAAGGAGTGCATTACTTATTTGTTGAACAATTAAATTGTGTTCATTAGCAATGCTCTGTCACAAAACAGTTTTCAGAGTGTACAAAAGTAGTTACATCTCAGATGATTTGTAGTCTTTTGTATATTTCTACAGTGTATAGCAATGTGAATGCTTGTCATTTTCTGACTGCTGTGAATCTTGCAAAATTAAGGTTAATATAGGTGCAGAACAATTTAAAAAGCTCTAAGAAAAATTTAGAGGCAAGCATGGTTTGTACGGAACTTGTACAAAAATTGTTACGAAGAAAAACTTGAAGCTGGGGTTGACTGAAAATTAGTTTCTAATTTAACAAGGTGTATGGAGATGCTTCTGTAATGAGGAGCACAGTTCACTGTAACACCACTAATGTGGAATGTTGATCCTTTTGGTTTTTTCCTTAATTACCTGACAGATTCATGTTACTTCAATCAAGACAAGGCTATTTGTTTTTACACAAAGTCATATCCTCTTGCTATTAATTTACAGTGGTATCACAAGTCATTTAATAACTGAAAAACAATCTTGCCTTTTGTTTAATCAAGAACAGTTTGGTCATTTAAAGCGATGAAAAAAATACGGCTCAGAGAGAGGTGGGGAAGATGCCTCAAGCAAAAAGGACTGTAGCCTTAAGTGCCACCACCTTATGATTCACTTCATTGTTACTTCCAAATGAGGTTTCTCTAATGATAAAGCTGGAAGTAGAAGAGCATCTGCTCCAGATTTTACTAGTGACCTGTAATGAAAAAACAATTGAGCGTGACTTCTTGTTATGAAGGCCTGATTTTTTTAAACACTACCAATAATAATCCAAGTCGGTTTGAATAGCTGCGTTTTATAAAATCTTTTCCTCTATAAATGACAAAATCCTGCTGTTGAAAACACCATTTCTGGGGTAATAATGCTACCATTCCCCATGTAAATGGTACTCCGTTTCGAGTGCTTTGTTACCTAATCCTTCGGGGTGGATTATGTGGCTGACGGGGGGAGCGCTGTAAATCAGGGACACAAGTCCTGCTTCCAGGACTCGCAGCCTCAATGAGTTAGTGTCCTCATAATCTCCCTCCTCCTCCCCAGCCAATTACTCATACTACTGTCATCAGGCAGATCAGTACCTGCTTTGTTTTTCAAAAATGTCATCATTCCTGCCTCCGTTGGTGACATTGCAGTGTTACATAAAGGCATTACAGCAAGATTAAAAGGCCTTTGGAGCCTATAAAAGAAAAAAAGCTGAGTAGTTACTGAATGGCTCTGAAAAATAGATAAATTTTATAACTGTCGTTATTGTGCAATAGCAAGCTAAACTACATAGGTTAACCTTTAATTTGCAAGCCAAATGCGAATCACAGTCATTTAGGCATTGCAGTAATTTGAGCTGATTGATATGAATCTTGAGCCTTAAGGACAGTTACTTTGTTTAGAGAAGAAATGAGATGTCTGGGAGTGAAATACTGCAGTTCTGTTAGAACTGGGGGAAACAGATACTGCAAGAAAAGTATGTACTAAAAGCTAAGGTAGATTACAGGCTATTGAATTGACAGTTGTTAGCTGAGCTATTCTGGTGCATACTGAAATCTAAATTATGTCTGAAGTAGAGTGGAAAATGGATTACAAAGCTAGCTATAAATGACAGAAATAGTGTAATTGAAAAATGTGGTATCAATGCACTATTGGAAGCTGAAGAGTAATTTTTTTGTATTCTGTTGTTGTTTGCTAAAAAAGACTTGTACAACTTTACATTTAATTGTAGGAAGGAGAAAGCCATTACCTGGGAAAAAAATTAAGAACTACATGTACCAGTTATGCAAATCTCTTGATTACATACATAGGTAAGAGACCTGGTTGAGCAAGAGCTTTACAGTGAATATACCACACATTTATTTCAGGGCTGTCGCTAAGCAGAGCGATACATACAATTGCCTGGGGCAGCGAACCGCTGCAGGGAGAAGAAAGGCCACTGCCCATAGCAGAAAAAAGGCATCTTTGCCCATAGCAAAGTGCTGGAAGACAGCAAGCAGGCACCCCGTGCTGCTGCCAGCCCCTCCTGGGATGGGGTGGCCCTTGCAGTCCTTTGGTAGCCCCAAAAGCAGAAAGCTTTAGGTGGCAGCAAAAGCAGAAAGCCTGGCCACCCCTTTCCGACGTGCCCTTTCTCCATTCCCATACCTGTAAGCTGGTGTCTCCCCATGGTGGCAAAATGCAATTTTCTTGCTGTTGATAAGCTTGAACAAAGTGTTAGTTTCTTTAAGTATTTTTTTTTTTTACAAATGACTGGAACCACTGTGTTTGTCTTTTTACTGAACTCTTCTCTCTGTTGTGTTTTATGTTGGTACAGAAATGGGATATTTCACAGAGATGTGAAACCTGAAAACATATTAATAAAGGTAATTAATTTTATGTGAGAATATTAAACTGAAAGTGAAGCATATCAGTGTTTTTCTCCTTACTCTGAGAAGGTAATTCCTCTTCTTGACTAAAAGTAATTTTAAAAAACTATATAGACAGTTACTGCTAATACCGTATTCCTGATCTAGACATATGAACAAGCAAGATTGTTATTGGCTAAAACCTGACAAGAATCAGATGCATGACAGCCTGCATGTGTTCCAATCTAAAAAAACTGATATTTATTCTCTATTCATTTACATTTTCCTTTCTGTATTAACCCAGAAATAAGCAATAGGGTTCAGTTCTGCAGCCCTTTCTTTCTACATTTAATTCCTACGTTTAGTGGAAAGTTACTCCTACAAAAGAGAGCAAAAGGTGTTAGATTTCAGAAGATTTCTTCAAGGAAATCTATTATCTTGACAATATCAGAATGTTATTTTGCTAATGTCTGAAAAGGAAGAATTTCAAAATTCAGTTTATTAAATTTTGTTTTCTGGAGATAAATTTTTCTTTTAAGTCTTAGAAGTGTACAGGAGAAGCCAGTACAAAGAGAAGCCAAAGCCACCTATTTTATCACTGCTAAACAGTGAACAAGAACTTCAACAAAGTAACTTAATCCAGATGTCCTATTTAGTCTTCCCTTCACTAGTAGTCTGTATGCTTTTCAATTAACTCTTAGCTCTTTCTTTTAATGAAGTACAGAACAGTATTTGCACATATTATGGAACACAGATATCTTCAAGCCTGGAGCTACTTGCTATTTAAATGCAGTATAACTGCTATAATACTACCCCTGGGATTTCTGAAAGTTTACTCTTAAAGTAATCTGTGATTTCTTTTATGATGAACTACTTCACATGTTTAAGGAACATCTTTGCTTGAATATTTCAGTGTTTCTAATTTGTCAAAATACTTTATTTATTTTTGCAGCAGAATACTCTGAAGTTAGGAGATTTTGGATCTTGTAGGAGTATCTATTCTAAGCAGCCACATACTGAATATATCTCTACACGCTGGTACCGAGCACCTGAATGCTTGCTTACAAATGGCTACTATAGTTACAAAATTGATATGTGGAGTGCTGGCTGTGTTTTCTATGAACTCACAAGGTACAGTGTTCAGTGGAGGGTCTTGCCTATTATTAATTGAGACAATCAAAGGTAGATAACTCAAAAAAGAAGCACGTGATATGGGTAATACGATCTCTGTTTCTATGGTTTTGTGGAAGCTTTTTCTGTGATTATTCTGCAGGGTTGATGAGGCAGTAATCCTGCCTTGTCTGGCACTCTCTTCACCCTATGGCAGGTTAGTAACAAAGCAGTGGGATGTTCAAGAGAACAGAGTACCAACAAATATTATTTACAAGTCAAATAACATTTTTGAACAGTTGGTTGTTCTGTTGTTTGTTTTGGATTTAGGATTTTTTTTTTTCCATTGGCTTCATATTTGAGTTTGGTAAAAGTGTGTTTTCTCTGCTTTATCTCTGAATGCCTCATTTCCTCTCATGAGCATCGTTAACTGTCCTCGGGCTTCTTATTGCACTCAATGGTAAAGTTTTTCCCTTGTTTTTTGAACTTACTGTTCTGCAAAAACAGAGGAGATTAGCGAATACACACCCTCTGATTTACGACTTTGATTTATACTACAGTGTGTTTAAGACTCTTGTACCAGGACCTTATGTCCTGGAATATTTTGAAGTCGGATTCTGATGAAGGAAGAGTTCAGGAAAACCAGGATTATAGTCCTTTAAGCTTTTCAATGATGATGAAAGTATAACTCAAAAAAATTGTCACTGGTCTTCAAGAAAAAAAGGAAAAATAACCACCATGAGTATTTCTCCAATATCTTTGTGCCCTAGCAACAGCAGCAGTTCTTCTTTATTCTCCTCCCACACTGCAGTCTCCGATATGCAACCAGGAGTGATAACATTTGCTTTGCTTCTTTCCTCCTCCTCCACATGGCAAGTGCAGCTGCTGCCATCATCATCACATTAAATGACAACCCTTATGCTTTGCCTGCTAACTTGTAGAAACAGTTCTACTTCGGTCAGAAAACTGTTAACACAAAAATCCCAAATGTGACAGTTCTCTTGCAAAGGAAATTGGGACCAAAAGCTTTAAAAATGCTGTGGTTTTCCATTTCAATTTGAATCAGGTGGGCTTTGAAGTTTGGCAAGAAAATTACATGCTGCAAACTTAAGTTTTCTTAGGGCAAGAAACCTTAAAGATACTTCCTCATAATTTTAGCTTAATGTAACAAATTTCGTTCTTTGCAACCACTGCACATTTTCAGAGACTGGATAGACGTGTTCAGAGAAATGAGGGATGTGGTTTGGAAATTACGGAATTAAAAGAGATACAGCCTTGCCAAGCTGAAGGAAGTTACGGACAGATTTATTTAAGTGCATCTTGCAGCGTTTGCTGCTTAACATTTGCATAAGCCTTTATGCTTTACACCATATTGTGTAAGAATTTTTAGCCTTTTACTCAGCCATGCTTGTCTTTCAAGTCTTGGTCTCCCTCTTTCCGTTCCTTATAAATCATGGTTCCTGAACGACAGTTTTTTGTGGATCACACAGTTGTTCTTCCCCAAGTTAGAGCTTTACATTTAGAGACAGCACATTTTTGTAATTCACGCAAAAACTATTGCCAACTGCTTGTCTTGATATAGCTACACAACACGAATCAGATCTCTTCTCTCTCCTTCCTCTACTCAGAGCTTTATAAAGACATTCAGAGAAGTGTGCAGCCAGCTGTTTGATTGAATTTGCAAACAGTTAAGTTTCCTCCTTTTACAGAGGGCTGAATGTGTTGCTTTCAAGAATCATGTGGTGCTACTGAAGTGTTTCTGAAATTATAAACCCAAGGAAACGCTCTGCTAACATGGAAAAAGGCAACATGTGCAAGAAACAAATGTTAGTGGCTTGTTAAGTCAGATTGCTCTATTGATAACAATGTTTTCAAGGACTCTATGCAAGGTTTATATTAACTGACGATCCAGCTCAGGAATGCAGTTCAAATTACCATCTTTCCAGTGTTGCTGCTTGCAAAGAACCTGTGTGTTAGGAATGGAATGTTTCTTATAAATATATTTCTGTGTGCATACACAAGAGGGACTGCTTGACTCTGCTGTCTTCAGATGAGGAAAACACATTGTCTTCTGGGATCTGCCACTTCACTAGAAGAAAACACTAGTGAAGTGTTTTCTTGACTAGTCTCTTTACCTATTTTACCCCAAACCCGTGAGGAGAAGGCAACTACAGGTTTCTTTTTAATAACCCAAACGACTCTTTCCATCCAAACACACAGTTGTATTAATCTGCTCCTCACATCTTATCCTTCAGTTGTTGGTTGGTATTAAACTGCCCACAAATGAGTAATTCTAAAATGTATCATCTTCCTCGTAAATGAAAATTTTTTCACTGAAGTGGCAGCTGTGCCACTTAAACTAGTTTAATCGTGTCTTCTCATCTCTTACCTTGCAGTTTTCAGCCTCTCTTTCCTGGATCTAATGAGCTGGACCAAATTTCAAAAATCCATGACGTTGTAGGCACTCCTGCTAACAAAACTCTCAGCAAGTTAAAGCAGTAAGTATGCACTCCCATAGTTATTAATCTCACTGTTTAAATATCCACAATGTAACTGTACAACTGTGTGCAATTTCTGCTCAGGGAACCACCACAAAAATCTAACAGTGTTGTGATGGCTGCTGACCAAAGAGGAGTGTCCTCTGTCCCTGCCCAGAGACAGTCACCCATTTGTGATCCTTGTAGGTAGAGCAGAGGAAATCTGAGCCTAAGTCAATCCTAATTGGCCTTTTATTTCCATTCTATCTTTAAGGCCAATGACATAACTTATTAGGAAAAAAAATACTTATTTTTTTTCCCAAGTATTACTTACTTGTCCCTAATAAATGATTACCTAAATCAGATTGGATTTTTTTTTCAGTAAATTTTAATTCTCTCTGAATATGCATGAATAACTGTTTGTTCTTAACTTGCTTAACACAGGTCAAAAATTGCAAGTTTTAATTTCCCCTTTAAAAAAGGAAAAGGAATACCTCCTCCTGTGCACAACTTGTCTTCTAAAGGCTTCTCTCTCCTGTACGCAATGATAAAATATGATCCTGATGAGAGAATTGCTGCCCATCAAGCATTACAGCACCCTTATTTTCAAGAACTCTGGCAAGTGACTTCAAATCATTTCCATCTTGAAGACTAAAATTAAGAAGTGGAGGGAGCGCTGTGTGCTTATTATTTAAAATGGACTGAAATGAAGTGCTAGTACTTGGCTTGCAACACAGTGAACATAATTCAGGCATTGAGTCCAGACTTCACCTAAGGCACAACCAATGTTTTTCTCTTTTTTTTTCTTTTTTTCCCCAAACTTTTTAGGGCAGCTGATACACAAGCTTTGGCCACAAACAAAAAATTAGGATTACTACGAAATACAGCAGGGCAAGTACCTCTGCATTTGTGGCAAATTGCAAAGGAAAGTCAAAGACAGGTAATAAATATTAAAGTGGAAGTATAGTCAGCCCATTAGAGAAAGTAATTTGTGACACTGGGCTTGTTAGCTGGAAACAAATGTTTTACTTAAGCTGATTACTTGGTTTTACTCAGTCTGCTTAAACACCGATCTTTTTTGGGTGTGATGCAGTTCTGCCCCCTGCAAGCCCTGAAAACCCTGAGTTAGAATTTAGAAGGGGTTACTGCGTATTCCCTTCAGGAGATGGTTGTCATAGTTGCTATTACTTAGCGGGTCAGTTCCATATTTTTTAAAAATATCTTCATCCTCTGGTTTTGTTGTCTGCCTTTGAGTTGCAAAGTTGGGCAGATGAAGTTGTAGCAGAGGCAGAAGGTGTGCTGTTGCCTTTTCAGGACTTCAGTCTACATTTTGAACAAATAAGATTTTTTTAAAATGTAATTATCCTATATTTAGATGATATCTAGGCAAATCCTAAACTTTTTGTTTGAGACTGGAAATTCTGGCCAATTAAAACTTTATCTTCAAGCTATGTGACAAATAACATATCTGCAAGGTATGATAGAAGTTAGTACTACATGAAAAAGCCACAAATACATTTTTTACCCCACAAAAAACCTAAATTACATTAGCAAAAAAAAATATATATTTCTGCTGTGCATTTAACCTTGAAAGCATGAACTCTTCTTCCATAGAAGCAGCCACATTTTCCACCAACTTAGTTCTTGGGTTCATCAACGTGAGCTTAGCAAGAAGTTCCTTCAGGAAAAATGGCAAGAAACATCCAGTAGGGTAGTGATTTTTTTAAAAAGAATTAGCTGAAGTAATTCTTGGCTGAGGTTTTTTGGGTTCTTTTTCCTGATCAGTTGGATTTTTTCTTTTATTTTTATTTCCGAAGATATTCTCAGAAAGAAATTGATTCTTATTTCTTTATTTTAAAAGTATTCTCTTAGGAAAGTCCAGGAAAAAACAAAACAACACGGACCTCCTCATGGAGAATTACCAAAATTAAATCTTTCTGGTGTAGCCAAATTGACTTCATGTCCTACTCCTACACTGCACTCAGTTTTCCGGGCACCTAAGGAAAGCGGTGAAAGCCCCGTGTTACCCTCTATTAGATTTATTGGATCAAATATCAAGGTACAGACTCTTAACTTGCTCATTAAATTGCAATAGCAAAAATGTGGTTTACAGAACGTATTTCAAAATTCTGTCGTTTCCTCAACAGTCTGAGAAACAGAAGGCACTTAAGTCCTCCCCAAAATGTTTCCACTTACCTGCTATAGACCGAAGAGGAGGAGGAGGAGGAGGAGGAGGAGGTTACTGAGCACCTTGTGAAGTGTTTGGAGCGCAAGGAAAAGCCGCGACTATGCAGTGAGGGACCCAGTCATACTGCTGTGGGTAGAGATCTAACAAGAACAGCACTGCCTTATTTTGTGTTTCTCTCACAATTTATAGGAACCCCCCACCCCGAGGCTGCTTACCTTCCATTTTGGTATTCTGTTCCTGAAGGGTATCAATATTTAATTAAAGCATTATTCTGGCAGAGCTTAGAGAGCACTCTGTATTCAACTTTCTGAGTATTTTTTTTCCTTTTAGAACCTGATGGAGGAGGAGGTTGGTTAAAAATAACATGAAAGGATTCTTTGAGCTTCAGTAGTAGGAATGGAATGTTATCTACAAAGTATAAGTTTTCATATTATATTATATTCTAAATGACAGCTAACTTTTGTACATTTTTTAGATGTAAAAAAATCTTTATTTTTCAGTCAACTCTGGAAAGTATTCACCTCCTGTACTGAATAACTTCAGATTCAAATTTTATTGAGAACGTGCAGATTATGCAATCCTACGAGATACTTGATTCTGATGCAGTTTCTGTAACTGCTGAATATTTCTATATAAGTATAATCTAGCTAAAAGCTAAAGCAACGTCTTATCTGATTCAAAAGCAAATAAAATTTAGTCATAGTTTTCTTCAAGCTGTTGATCTTAATATTAATCAAAAGTTTTAACAGCAACTGATACTGCCACCAGTTGCTCAAAAGAGCAGTAAAGGAACGTTATCTTCTCATGTTTCAGAAATTTTGCACACAGATCATCAGTAACAATTTAATATAGTGTTACTGTCTGCTGATGCTACGAAGGGAAGAATGAAAAGGCAGCATTTTTATCTTACTTGGATAAAGTAGTTATCGCAATTTGATACCTTTGATTTTAATACTCAAAACATCTCCTAAAAATTTGCAGTAATTAATTTACAACACTTCTATTTGGTGATGTGTTACAAAACAGTTTTGCTCTTTAAAAAACAAATGACTGTGCAAATCATACTTAGCTTGTGGTTTAAAAATCTGCCTACAAGCAATGTCTACATGCAAGACAGGTTTTGTGAAAAAAATGTGGGTTTGGGTTTTTTCTTAATAGTTCTAAAAGTTACTCTGCTCATAACTGGGAAGCGATCAGCTTTTTTTCCCAGTTAATCAAACACTTTTGTGTCTGCTGCTGCTGTTCAGAAGATTCTGTGCAACAAAAAAAGTGGAAACCAAGCCATGGTTGGTGAGAGGGAGGAAGAAGGTGAGGGACATGTTGTATTAGAAGTCACTGCAGCCCAGGACAGCAGCAGCACACAGGGCAGCAGATCATGGTCAAGTTACTGAGCTTGACCCTTCAAGCATCAATTTGAGATTGATGCTCTAAACAAGGATTTTATAAAAATACTAGTCATGTGGAATAAAGTCATGCTCTCAGTTCTCCTTCTGAGATTTTATTAGGCTATGCATTTGTGAAAATAATGATATTTCTCACTATTTAGAGGTTTTCCAGTTGTTGGCTTTTTTTGTTGGCTTTTTTAAATTGGTTGCTTGGTTGTTTTTTTGAGAATCGGTGTCTCAACACTGGTAGGATTCTGCTGTGACTGCTTTAGATCCTATTCCTTGTTCTACCACTCAGCTCCTGGATACCCAAATTCCACATTGTAGCTTTTCAGCATGGGTAAGCTCATGAGACTAGTTCTTTATGAATCCTTTTGAGATTTACTGCTTAAAAGTACCCGTCCACCTTATGTTCTTCATGTTTTGAAGAAGGTATTATTTTCACGTACTGTACTGAGGATCAACATGAGATTCACTCAGATTTTTTTAAATGTGAAAATATCAACAGGCTAAATGTTTATGGTGAATTCCATGGAAATCATTTCTTGGAATTGATTTTAATATGACTGCCCAAGTTGAATACCCTGCACCTGCATCCTGGCCTACTCTACCTTTGTTCATTTTATTCCATTTCTTCATCGCAAACTTTCGGAATCTCAATAGAAAGAATGGAAAAACATCCCATCCCTGGCAAAAATGCTTGTAAAATAAGGCTATGGCAGATGAGCAAGGCTCTGCAGGGAAACCTGTACTGCTGCTACTTGTCCTCCCTATGCCAGGGGAACAGCAGATTTCTCTTACTGGGACCGAAGAAATACATAAGTAGAGCTTTAGTGGAAGAAGTGAACACCATAATAAAGGGAGAATTAAATGGCAGAACATAACGTTATAGGTAATGTCTCTTTCTCATTTTATTGAAACTCATTCTGGATGGGTGCTGTCTTTCCTCCAGTTTTAAGCAGAAAATATGCTCCTGAGCCTGGTACCTCGAGGTGCAGTGGGGTGGATACACACAGACAGGGCGACTGCCCAAGTTCTACTGCTCTGCTACAGCTCATCATCTCCCCTGTCATGCTTTTCAGGTTAGCAGCCCAAACTGCCAGAACAGAGGGAGAGCTTCCACAGTAAGGCAATACACTATTTGTTTGAATACCTGCTATAGGGGGAGTGTGTATATGTAAATATAAATATACATATATATATATAAAAAGGTGTGATGCTAAGCTCAGGAGGTGGAATTTGTGATGCTAAGCTCAGGAAGTGGAATTAAGGGCTGCAGTCTATAGGGAACACAGTGTGACAGTAACCTCCACCTTCTTACCTTTGGAGCTCTGAGCAAAAGGTGCCATCAGCTCATCCAGGGTTTTTTCCAGAGAGGAAGATGATGAGTTGCTCGGTGTTAATACATCGGGAGTTAAGCATCGTGTGCGGCAGTAAAAATGAGGGTCTAAAAATAGGTAACTTGTTGTGTCTGAGGGATTGTGCTCTCCACAGTTATTAATTTCTTGCAGGATTTAAAAAAAAAAAGAAAAAAGACAACTCCTACTACCCACATTTGAGTGATCGTTCAGACTCTGAGCTCTTTTACCAAGCTCAAGGGTCGTATTTTCAAGAGTATGTTCCTGATGGAAAATGTTAATTGTATTGGTAGCTTCACATAATCATTTTCTGGAAACCTCATAGCACAGATGCTGGAGTTTAGATATTTACATTCAACAATTCACCTAAAAAAAAAAAAAATCCCTCAGATCCTGCGTGCATAAACTGCTTCCCTGTTTTCAAAACTGTTATTGCAACTGTTTGCTTCTATAATTAATATCACGTAGGTAATTACTTTATTAATGCAGCAGGAAAGTGGTTGTTTTTTTGAAAAAGACCAAGTCAGAATTTTTGGATAAGTTTTAACTTGGAGAGAAAGAGCTGTCAGAGTAATAGCTTGTGTGTTACCAGGAATTCTCTCTCACCTACTCTGTACCCAGAGCTGTCAGGCTGTTACAATGAAACAAGGGCAATTGCCCATTCAGCAGGTCATTTCTGCTATGAAAATTGGGGATTTCAAGTGAAGGACCACATTGGAGTGTTTTCTTCCTTTATTTTAAGCTTTCAGGTGGATCTTACAGAGTTTGGCACATACAGTGCTTCACAGGTGTTTATTTCATAGCAAGTTCTTTGCTGTTTTCCCTCTAGAGACACCTTCTGCTGCTCTGGCTGTTGGATTAGTAGGCAAACTTGAGTTCTCCCACCTGCTTTATCGCTAAAATACACTCATCGTTAAACTACAAACTGGCAAGTATCGCTCCTACCCTCATTCTTCCAGCTCAAATTCCATACTGAGATGATCCGTGTTCCACTCATTTTTAAACGATTTCGTTTTTTAACTTTACTGTTCTTTCCAGGTAAGTTATTAGGATCCCTTTTCTTCCTAAAGTATTTTTTAACACGTGGAATGAAGGGTGGGATGGGCAGTTCAAGCTTCTGAAAAAAGAAAAACCACGTGCACTCCTCGACTGTGATTTGTAGCAGGGCCATACTCTGCAAAGGCACCTGCCAGTAGCTGCTACCAGTACCCCAGTCCTGGATACCACAGGCCTCTCAGTACTGCTTTTGTGTTTTTCCAGCTGAAGGAAAAAAGTCTTTTGACTCAGACCGACTGCAGCACTTGCACAAAAGAAGTCTAGAAGGAGATACCCACACTAGTTTTCAGTGCTGAGCTTTATCTGCATTTTAACAGTTAAACCCCCCATGTTAATAAAACAGAACTTCTCAACAATAATCCTGCTCAGTTTCAGTATTTTCCCCGTTGCTCATATTTTAGAAGAATGTCAGTAGATAAGAATTGTAAAGTACAGCTCCATCTTTAACAGACAGCCTAAATGTCAGCTTAGAAACATATCTGGCAGTTCCCTACGTGCTGGCTGCATTACAAGAGTAAGACTTAGTTCCAAGTACCTACTGCAGTTGTTTCTCCCCAAATTTTAACTCCTTTTTCTGAATGAAAATGCCTGAAAACATCCCAAGTTTATTTGCAATTTAAAACATTCTACTCAGCTTTACTGCTGGAGAGCAGGAGGGGTGTTACTGTGTGCCCTCACCTACAGCCTGTGCCCAGGTGGGCACGTTGCCCATTTGAGGCTGGTGCCCGGCTCCAACGGTCAGGAAAAGCCTGACTGGGAATATCACTACATGGGATAAAGGGAAAAATATGGTATAGATAAATACCTATAGATAAATACCTATAGATAGGTAAATAAATAAGGCTGGGCCTTTCGCTTCACAGCTCCCAAGACAAATAACGGGGCTACAGGATTACAGAATCCTTGAATCCTTGCCCCCCCAAAGTTGTCTGTCTGCAAGATTTCCACTGTATGATGCATTTCGAGATAAATCATTAAGAACCAGAACAGAACAATGTTATTTCACTTTCCTAATTGAAATTCAACTCTATTCAACGTGAAGCCATGTTCTAGGTGAGATATTTTTGAAAGGAATTTGTTCTACAAAGTTTAGATGGTATTTCTGTACCAAACATTTAATTCAACAAAGGATTGAATACATCAAAAGTGATTGGATTTGAACAGAAAGTAAACAAAAATGCATATTCAAGATAGTTTAATATGTATTTTCTGAATTAGAAATATCAATTTCTTAAATGAATGAGAATTTCTAGTGTAATGATCCATTACTCCCCTTCCCCACCACTGAATTACATTATTTATACATATAATACAGAGCCGATTGCGGTTGGAAACAACAATATTAAAATAAATGTTTAATAGATACAAAGGATCTTTTCTCCACAACATAGTTTTTCTGGTGCCTGGACACCAATTTTTTTTTAAAGTAATTCTCTATTAGCATTAAACTATTTAAGTGCAAAAACAATTTTGTTTTAAAAATCTATGATTGCAGCATCCATCTTCCTGAATAACATTTTGAAGCCAGAAAGTAATGACTTTCATTTTCCATGAGTGCATTCCAGGCTGTCTTCTAGCCATCTCTGGTTAAAAAAATCAGTGCAAAATAAACAATGGTGAAGTACTAGTTTAACCATTGAACTTACTTGAATTTAAGAAACATACTTTATTTTACACTATATATATATATATCTTTTATTTATATATTTATAGAGAGAGATTAAATTACACTGGACTCGAAAAGTATAAAGAAAACCAAAAGTGTTACTATTTTTTTTTTTCCTGCAGCACCAAAGGAAGCTTTTTTTTTTTTAATTCTTTTTTAAATGACAGCTCTTCCTTGGGTGAGCAGCCTAGCAGGATTAGCTGTAAGAAGAACTCAGTACATGATTCCTTTGCGAGTGACTATGTGATTCCCATAACTCCGTGTTTACACTCTGCCACTTTAGCATTTGTGATGCTCTTGGCCTGAAGAACAGCTCCTGGTTCCACTCTCATTACTTCTTGTCCTGCGTTCAGAGGTTTGCTTAGCAGTAGTGTGCTGGCTATACTACAGTTCCACTTGGAGAATTGGCCTGGGTTTGGGATGACAATAAACCCTGCAAACAAAGCAGTTTACATTAATCCAGCGAGAGAACCTGACAGTAATTTTTTTTTATAAAGTTCTTAGCCCGAAGCTAAAATGAGTACAGTTTATTTTTACCACCTCTTGCTCCCTTTAGACCATCAGCACCTTCTTTCCTACCAAAGACTCTCTGCAGTCGGGCAGGAGCTTTGTGCCTTGGTGACACACGGGGAATCTGATTTCATCTCCCTTGCATTTCCAATCGCTGCGAAACTTTAGAAATCCTACCCCAAAAAAGCCATCAGCATTTTATGAGGGTAGCAACAAACCAACCTATTCCGCTATCGACAAGTTTGACATCTAACCTGAGACAGGGAAACGCTCAACCTCTTCCATGCCATTATTATAACTTTGAGTAGAAAAATAGATTATCTAACCAACCATTTTGGTAATTTTAAGAGATAATGAAACGCTGAGCGAGAGTTCAGTAAAGATTTCCCATTACAATTTAAGCTTGCCTTCAGGAAAACTTTTTACCAGCTGATTTAACTGCGTTGCTGTTGAAATAAAATGAGACTTCATTTCAGCCCCGTGGCTGCACGACACCCCGGGCTGCTGCTCCCCATCGAGGCAACGATTCCTTACGGATCGATACCAACGGAGAGACTCCATTCCAGATTTAGGTACAGTAGCCCCTTTTTAATCATTCACATAGAAGTAACTCTATATCCAACTTATAAGAAAAGCTTAATATCAAAATCCAGTCTTGTAAGGGCGTTGAGCAGCGGTGTGTGCCAGCAGCCCCAGCAGCCTGACGGCAGCACAACCAGCTGGAAGCAAACCCAAGGAGCGTCACGGTGCGACTCCTTGCCACCTCAGCACCATAAATGCTACTCTAGCAGTTCCTCCAAACAGCTACCAGCTCGGGTTCTTACCTCAAAATTAAGATCCTGTGACTCAGATCCATCAAACTAGACAAGCTCAGGCAGCAATTAGCACACAGTGCAGAATTAGGTCCCATCTTCAGAATCTACAGGAGCTCTTTTGTGCTTAGATCCAAGAACTGGAAAGCCATGGCTGATGGAAGAAAACCCTGACCACAGGCAGAAGAGCTGGAAGGAGGCCTGGACCAGCTAGATTCAAATCAAGTTTCTACTAAAACTATAGCCTTTCCTTTTAAAAAACATCTATTCCACCAGTTCAGACACATTATGAACCTGGATACATTTGTAGGATTTATAGCAGACTCTGGTCTGCTATACACACATGTATACACGTATGCACACATTTTATATTACATTTATATAGAATAAAGTATTCAGCCCTTAATTTGGTGCCCTCCGTAGATCCGAACTGCAGGAAGCAGAGCACTGCTTTTATTTGTGGTGGGTATTTGATTGTAACGCCGCCGAGGCAGACTGAGGGGGGTTGGTCTTTAAATTTGTTTGATATTCAGAATGTGCAAAGGTACTGCATATTTGACAAGAAGAGAACAAAACGTTTCCTAGTTATTAGTTAAGGAACGGATGGTGAAAAAAGGCAGAATTTTAGAGCAAAGAAGCTACTGAAGCACTTGGGAAATTTTTTACTCAAAGTTTTGTTCAGAAGCAATGAAGATGAATCAGAACTCTAGAGTTCATCACCGAAACATCCTTCAGAAGTCTATTAAATCCAGCAGCAACTGGAAGGTCTTTTTTGCCAGGAGGTTACATCCACTAAGCAACTTTCAAGTACCCTGGAAAACGACGTCCAAAGGTATTATTTTCAATCTTTAATAAATGGGTGATCCAAACTGTTTGTATGAAAGTATGTGCTTTATACACACACTGAAAGTACTAGGGATGGCATAAGATGAAGTCTTTTTCAACAGGCTTATGCCCACGCTGTGCAGATGAAGAGATGGGGCTTTGAGCAACCTGGTCTGGTGGGAGGTGTCCCTGCCCATGGCAGGGGCTTGGAACTCAATGATCTTTAAGGTCACTCCGAGCAGGTAACCCAGAGGAACACCTGAGTGGAAAGAATGTCCAGATCAATATCCTTGTGCTGCTGCAGGCAGACATTTCATAAACTTTGTGAGTACTGCCTTAAAACCTGACCAGGCTTCAAGGGCCATTCCAGAACTCCACTCTTCTCTCAAGAACTTCATTTTAGAAGACATCTTAGACCTTAGATGCTCTTACAAGAATAAAATTTGCTTTTTAGGTTTGGGATCAGAGCCTTTCAAACGACGCCATTTAAGAACTATGTAGAAAAGAAGGTGAGGGCTTAAAAAAATTTACAGTTTTGATACAATAATTATCTTCTAAGAGTCTGATCTGTGAAGTAAAGGATGTGGGACTAGAATACTCATAATTGTATTCTTTGGGAATAATATGATGGATATGGTTATGAAAAAATATAGAAAGCTCCTGCCTGTAAAGAAAGAGTAAAGAAACTAGATTGCAGCACTTTCTGTGATTAACCTATCCCAGTCCAGTCAAGCAGAGGGTAAAAGATGGAACAAAAGCTGCAAGAACTCAGTGCAAGAGCAGAGCTGCACAGTTTAACAGCTGTGACAAAATGGAGAAGGTGAGATGTGACAGCGGTGGATCTGCCACGGGGCACAGAGCTTCAGCCTGGAGTTGAAGAACAAACACACTGTACCAAGTGAGCAGCAGAACAAAATTAAGAGACTGCTCAAAAAAGTTTTGAAAATAAATGTAGTCTTTTATTAGTTGTATTATTTTGTCAGCATGCGGGTCTAGCAGGGGGTGGGAAATGGAAGAGTTACGAGACCCGAGCCAGGAAATTGATAAAACAATCTTCACCACAACCTCAGAGAGGATCCTCCAAGCAGGTCCTGCATCATCTGCCATCTCATCAGGTGACTCTGCAGCTGAAACGTGCCTTTGCACAGGACTCTTTTGTTTTTCTTAGGACAATTAGCCATGTGAGAATACTCAACACAGACTGTTTCAGCGCTACTTGCTCGGGCTATTCCATGTTTATCGATGCACTCACTGACTTCCCAAAACACACAGGATTTGGTGAAAATGAATGAAAAGCTGTAACAAATAAGATCAGTAAGGTCATTTCCACCAAAGGTTCATGGCACTCACAGCTGTGGTCTCTCCAGAAAGACCTGCAGTGCTGTTAAGACCACGATTCATGAGATTGCAGAGGGGGTTGTTATTTTTTTTTAAAAATTCCAAATATGCTCCAGCCAAAAGTTTGGGTTTTTCCAAAGATATGAAACACGAGGTTTTGCAACAGAAACTAATTCTACGAAAGATCAGCATGTAATTGCTATATTAAAAAAGAAAAAAATAAAAAAAAAATCAGGAAAATACTACTAATTAGCAGAAAAAGCCATCAGTAACTACTGAGGTAATATTTTCTTCATGTAAATTAGAACAGGCTTAATTGGAGGCAAAGATGCAATCACTCTAAGTTTCACTAGTCTGGATAATAAGCTGCAAGTCTGGACAGAGGAGCAGGATGTGGGGAGGCAGTGTGTGTGTGCTGCTCCACAACACTCCTGGCATGGGCTCAGCCCTGGCCCCGTTCAGAGCTCCCCGGGTGCCGGGGCTCGGCTGACACCGGGGAACTCGCTGGAGGCCACAAGGATCTTTGCACCATCTTTCCAGTTCAAAATCAAAAGGTGGAAAAAAACAAAGGGTCCAACCTAACAACCAATGTAAAAAAAAAAAAAACAAACCCCAACATTCTCATAGTACACATCACTAATGCAATTAAACCACCTTTAAAAATGGCTGAATTGATGAACGCCCATAGAAAAAGGGTATTAATTTGTTAAAACATTTCTGCTGTTGCCAGTATATGAAATAATGGGAATTTATTATTGGAGGAATATTCCATGGGTGGTTTATTCTTGTCCAGAACTCTGACATTCCTGGAGTAATTTGAGAAACTGCTCTGGAGGGAGACCTTTACTTGACTAAAGAGCCCACGGTCCAATACATTTACCTGAGCAATAATAATATGCCAAAACAGAAGGAGATTTTTCACTACAGAATTCTAAACAGATGTGAAGTCAGCTGAATTGGTTTTAAGATTTGCATGAACAAAATCTGACAGTTTCTGATTCCAAATGAATCAGCATTTATTAGCAGAAGGCTCCGAACTGCATTATTCACTATGTCGGATATTAATCTCTGATGGAGTCATAAAGTTAATTGAGAATGTTCAAGGAATCACGTGCTGAACATGCACATGGGCTTCAGGGGGAACACAGCAAAGCTGATCCCAATCATTACACAGTCTGTATGTTCACTAAATAGGAGTTTTATGTTTTCCATTTGCTTCCCCCTCCACCTTTGCTCTAGTACAGAAAAGTGTAAATGCTTAAACCATTTGACTGACACCAGATCTTGTAAGACCATGTAGTAGCATCAAGGAGGTTTCACTTGCAACTTCTGTGCACATGAAGGAATTTTTCTTCTAACAGAGGTGTTAACAAAAAGAAAAAAGTCAAGGCTGCAAGAAAACCAGTAGACAAAGACTAACTAAAGATCTGTCCACTGGTACTAGGCAAGATTACTTCAAGACTAGTATATGATTGGCAAATGGAAGATATGCATTTTCAAGAGAAAAATAATTTAATAATGTAAATAATAATTTAAGATGCAACTACTTGTGCACTGAGAAAAGCAGAAAAGGCTTTTACCAGTAGAAACTGATCTGGCTCCAGCAATAGGAGCTTAAGCTTCATTTAGATAGTAAGGGCTCACGTCATTTCTCAGCTCACTCAAACTACAAAAAGTCTGCAAGGTTTAATAATTTTCAGATTAGAAAATGATGAAATGGAGATAAACCAGGGCAAACCTGGAAGAAAGCATATGACTTAAGGCAACCCCGTTTTGGTTAGTTGGAAAGTAAGTGTGATCTTTGCAGAAGACACAAGACAAGGGGATTTGAAAAGGTTTATCAGCACCTACCTAAAATCCAACTTCAAAAACCAGAAAAGAATGTGATTATTCAAGTTATTTCCTTGAGAAGCTTGTGAAATGTTATAAGGACAAGCAAGACAACACT